CCATCCTCCAAGAGAACCCTGTCCTGCAGCCGCGGCTCGACGCCCCGCAGTGCCGAAGTGCTGGGGCAGCCCGTCCTCCTGCCCGTCGGTCGTTCGCAGGGCCGGCCGAAAACATTGGTCCCGAGGCTTTTTGCTGGAGGTCGGGGGTTTCTAGGCGAGTGCCAGGGCGCACCAGGAGTCCTGCCGGAGGGGCACGCTCAGCCCGGGCTGCGGGGCCATGGTGGTGGGGGAGAAGGTGTAGTCCTCGGGCTCGAATTTGAACTCGCCGTGACCGCCGGCCAGCGCCTCGTCTGACTGGCTCTGCGCCTGTCCCAGGGAGCGAAGCAGAAAGTCATTAGAAAGCCTGTCATTAGTCACTCACCCCCTTGTCATAACACAGTGGTAGGACTAGGATGGATTATGAACAGGTTGGGTTATCCCCGATGCTACTGCTGCCCTTCAGAGGAGTCCGGAGCCGGGCAGGAAGGGTGCTCCATCCCCAGCAAGAACGAGGATCAAGCAGGGAGAAGGCATCCCTAGGTCCATCTGCATTTAGTTATTGACTAAACATGTCCGGTTTGGAGATCTCTATCTGCATGTCTATTTTTTAAGAGGGCAGCACAAACCAGATTTATCAGTTTCAGACAAAAAAAAACCACCAAAACCCAACTCTCCCATACAGAGGTGGCTGGCACCACGCCAGGCGCTCAGGTGCTGGAGCTGAGCTTCCCCTGTACGCACACACATCCAGCTTGGGGAGGGCTTAGATGCAGCATAAAGATAGTGCTGGGTCACAAAATTTTGATGTGCTGGCTGATTTAGAGCTATTTTTGACTCTGCCAAGACAAAATAGAAACCCATCCCAAAGAAATCCTTAGGGCAGAAGCAAAGCCTTGCAATCTGGGGTCTCTGACAGCACTGACGCTCTGTGAGACTGAGCACCTCAGGGTTATAAAAAGTAGGTAACATATGCCCAGGGAGCCTCTTTTCAGGAGCTACAGATGTTTCTGCTCTAGGCTGATCCCACCAACTTGACAGGGATGTAACTCCAATGATTTCAAGGCAGGAGATGGGAATTAAACCTAGCTTCGTGCCAAAGCTGGTTTGCCACCAATCGCCTCCACGGCAGCAGGGCTTGGACCTGCCAGTTCCCCACTGCAAGATGAAGAGCTTCCTGTTTCACAGTATCTTGACTTATGCTCCCTGCTCTCCTTGGTCTGAGGCAGTCCATCAGGCTGGTGGCCCCCAGCGCAATGAATTAATTGCTAAGCCTCATCAAGCGCCCCTGAGGTGAGCCATCAGAGGAGCGTGGAGCATTCACCCCAGCTGGTGATGGCTGCGGGTCCCTGAGTCTCACCTGGGACACCGACACGATGGTTTGTCCGGGATACTGCGAGGTTGTGCTGGGCTCTGACTTTAAAGTGACCGTGCTGTCTGAGTTCGTAATGGAAGAAGGGGAGTTAGTGGCCGAAGTCGTAGACCCTGGAAGACAATCAGTACAGGATGATGAAGCAACACAGGTGCAAATCTGCTCTTAAGAAAATTCATATTTTAACGGCTATCACCACATCTCATGGCATGGCTCAACTGTTCTCTTTCTGCACTGCACCTCTGTCTCGGTAAGGCTTTGTGTTTGGCTGCCAAGGTGCTGGTGGAGAAGGAGGAGCCTTCCAGCCTTCCACAGCCTGGTGGTGCAGGTCCTGGTACAGACCAGATGGGCTAATGTTGAATTTATCACGATATCTTCCCCTCCACTCTTCAACACACCACTTCCAGCCCTGTTTTTTCCCATCACTCAATTTAGCCCAGACCTCTTTGAAGATGTGCAGTGCTGAGCTGGAGCTGGGTGCCCACAGCACAGAAGAACCTCACAAGAATGTGACAGCAGGGAGCCTCCCCACCCAGCATCCTCCTTCCACGTGAGGTCTATGCATAAATACAGCCCCTACATGTAAAGCAATCATTGAGGGGAACCAAAAAAAAAATCACAGTATTATTTTTTAACTATCATAATTTCTTGCAGAAGATATGTGGAGGTGAATTATGTTCCAAGCCCCCATGATGGATCATAGCAGCACTGTACCTGTTGAGGTTTTGCCTTTGGTAATGTTTTTAGGCTTCCTTTTCCTCGTCTGGATGCTTTCCTTTTTCATGGCCAGAGGTCGTGGTACCTTGACACGCATAAAGTTTGGAATCATCAACACTGTATTTTACTTAGCTCCTTCCCACACACGTGTTGCTCTCTTATTTACATACTGTAGCTCATGCAAAGCATCTAAAGTCCTTGTCCTTCACTAAGTGCTATTTTTCTCTGCAGCAGGCCTTGGCTGGAAGATGTATAAGGCTAACAGCTAAGGCTTTCCCACAAATTTTGTTTTTTCCTTTATTTCCTATTTTCCTTTTCCTGATTTATTAGTGACCTTTATGACAGGGCCCTATTAAATTACACTGACAAACTGAGAGCCCACGTCTCAGAGTGAACCGTCACGGGATAAAGAGACTTTAACTTTTATGGCAGAAGTTTGAAGAGGCCTGTATGGAGGGATGAAGTCTCCTCTTTGGCTTGTGGACATGTTACCAACAGTTCCCATCCTCTGTGGACAAATGTTATCACCCAGCCTCCATGGGGACTCCTTAGCATCCTTCACACACTCTTAATTACCACATCGAGAAGAAATACACTCCTTATCTCCAGTCTGGGTTTGGAAATCTTCAGTCTCCAGCTACTGGAGCCTGTAAAAAAGCTTCCTCTTTGCAGAGTAACTTGGCAAACAACCTAATTAAGAGCCACTCAGTGATAGAAATCTCTCCTCTATGCAGGTACCTCCTGAGAGCGTTCCTTAGCCTTATTCTGGAGAACCTCAATAGACTGAGCTTTTAACTGTTCAAGGAGACAGGACTGGGTTACAGCTCTCCTGGATCCAGTCTGGAGGCTGGTCGCTCCAGACCTGGTCTCCTGGACCTGCTGGGATGTGATCCCAGCACCCAAAGGGTCCCTCCCGGTGCAGACGCTCTCCTCACCCCATGGAGCTTCATGTACAACCCACAGGCGTTGCAGACGGGCTCCCCTTCGGCGTTCCTTCTCCAGAGTGTGGTATTGGTTGTGTGGCAGTTAGTGCAACATAGGCCAGCACGTCTAGATGAAGACTTGAAAACAAGCAAACAAACACACACAGGAATTAGTGATTGGGAAGTTTCCTTTCGTATAAAAATAAAACCTCCAACTACACCAATTTCCTGGAAAATGTGCAACACGTACAATAGCCAAATTCAGATCAAAGAAATTACATTCAAATGAGATCACTCTCATTTGCAAGTGCTTTTTTTTATTGAGCTTGAGAAGCCTGGCAAATATCCTTGCAACACATTTCAAAAAAAAACTTCCAATGAATCTGCTGGGAGTTGATCAGGACTCAAGAGTACAGAGAACTTTCCTCCAGGAGACCCACTCAGATGGAGAAAGAGATGGAAAATGCCAGCCAAACTTTAAGCAAACAAAAACTCATTCTTTAAGTGAACTCTTCTGATTTTCTGCGCTCGGAACTACCTCTAAAGTTAGCAACATCCCAATTAATCTCTGGTTTAAGACAACTGGAATCAATTGGCTGAACTGAGCAGAACTAAACTGAGCTGGCCCATGACAGGACCAGGGAGGTTCTTCTTTGCACGTTCTCTTACAGGCTGCAGAAACACCGCGCAAACATTAATTAATGACATATTTTGTGAGTGCAGTGATTGCTGGCTCTGAAATGTTAATACTTCCAAATGGAGAAGGAAAATATTCTGTCAGAAGCAGCAAACTCATTTCTGACAACTGTACTCTAAGCCACTGGCAAATTCACAAGTCGCTATATACAGACATGTCAGCTCCACAGGCATTTCATTTGGAAGTCTCTTAACACTAGATACTGAAACTATTTTAATAAAAGACTTCACTAAGCGTAAGATACCAGTGGCACAAAGTAGTATCACAGGCTCTACACATTCAGGTGTTTGAATATGTTCTTCAGCCTTAAGAAAAATTACTTTGATTCCTCTCAAAGGCAGATGATAGGTGATACAGGCAATAAAGAACTGTTTGTTTATTCTTCCATTATTGCTTGATATCATAACTGAGCAATATAACAAATGAGGTGGGAAGAGTAGGAATAAAAATAAAATGTTTTTACAAGGTTAGCAGTCAAATAAAGATCAGCTTTGAGTTAAGAGACACAAGCGACATGCCCAAGCTTTGATTCACTCGTTGCTCAGCAAAGAGGTCTCAGCAGCTATTTGCAAATAATAGTGCTGCTTTGGAAATTATTTAGCTTTCAAGAAATAACCAGGCAAAAATAATAATACACTGAGGTGTAAGCTGACAAGCCTGGCACAGAGGAGGGGACAGCAATCCTTGTCCCTAATATAGTTCACAGTGTCACAGCAAGGTCCTGGAGCAGCTACAGAAGTTCCTTAAAACCTTCCCGCTGCCGGGGCTGTGCCGTTCATCCCCGCAGCAAGGAGGGACCTCAGCTCTGGTGGGAGCAGAGGGAGGTGCTGAGCACCCAATGGGTACAAAGGCTCTGAGGTCCAGCTCCTGCCATGGGGACAGAATGAAATTTGCAGGCATTGAGCCCCGGGGGTAACTGCGCCCGAAGTGGGCCAGCGAGATCTGTCATCACCTGCGGATAGAGGACGGCCAATGTAAAGTGCTTTGGAAAGCCCAGAGATTTCTGGGCCACCACAGGTCCTGGGGACGGAGGGACACACTGTCCCTATTTCATACAACGCTTTGCCCACGGCTTGCAGATGAGGTGGCAACCACGCCTGTGGCTCTGGTGGGCCAAGGGCAATGCCAGCCCTGTCAGAGCTGTGCCCACCCTGCCAGCAATGCGTCACAACCTGCTCAAGGGCTTTCTGCTGGGGCGGCGGTGTTTGCCCTCACCATCTCCTGCAGATCGGTCTGTGGGCTGTCTCTGCTTCATCCAGCCAGGGAGAGCAGAAACCATCCTCCATGACCAAATATTACAATTTAAAACCCAGAATACCACAAGAACCTGGCCCTGCACCACAACCTGCCAGCTTAGCAAGAAAGAGACAGCCAAGGCTACTGCTGCTCACTGAAGGACAAGGGTACAATACGTTATTGCTGGTTTCCCAGCAGTTCCCTTAAAAGAAAATGCATTTCTGCCTGCCCCCACCCAGCTGCCTTTGTACCATTCTGACCTTGTCTAGGAAGTTGTTGACTTCAACATTGTGCTCCAGTGTTTATTTATACAAATGCAGCATATACTCAAACAAAAACTCTTCACAAACCAGGCTTGACAGCCAAGAGCTGCTGATAAGCTCAAGGAATGGTGAATTGGTGCCTGTCGACTCAATCGTGTGTGAGCGCTACTTGGAGAGTCTGAAAAATTCAGAGCCAACAGGGCAGGTCCTTCCGAGGGTGCTCAAAGTCATCAGAGACTTTGCTTCACCTCCGTTTCAAAGGTGGAAATGAAAGCACAGGGTTTCACATGAAAAAAGTAAGCCTCTGCATCCTCAGATTTAACCAACGCTTCTCTGGCTCCCTTGCCAGCAGGATGGGGGGGACCTGGTGTTGATAGGAAAGAGGTTGCAGCAAAGCCTACTGAGATACCCAAGCTCAGCTCCTGAAAGCTGGTAGATGCAAGCCTCAGGGCCAAATGCAGTGGTGTCCTCTGAACTTTGCCTTTGTTACCATGGCTCTGGGCAAATCTGCACTTTGGAGGATGAGGCAGCAGACGGAACTCAGGACCAGAAGAAAGCTAAAGCACACATCACAAATGCTTGTATGGTTCTCGTGTCCCATCAGATTGCCCTAGGGTTGTGACCAGTCCCATCCGCATTTCCCCAAGTGTCACCAAACTCACTATGCACTGCAAACTACTAAAAAAAAAAAGAAAAAAAAAAAAAAGGACAGACTGAAGAAATGTCCCCTGAGCCAAGCTAGCAAAACTCAAGCCCAGCTTAGTCCTTCGACTCAGAGTGGGGTGGGAGCTGTGAGCATGGGGCAGCCGCTGCAACTGCCCCCTCTGTGCTGTGCCAGGCGGTGCAGCTCTGCTCCTCACATGGCGGGGAATTTCATGGGCAAGGATAGAGACATCCACCTCCACCAGCTGCTCCTGGATGGTAAAAGTGCCTTTTAGGACTGGGTCTAAGGTATCATCTTGTGAAATGTGCCAAGAAACTTTGGCTAGAAAAAGATACCGCCTAAAATAAAAGTGCTGCTTCCATCCTCCTCTAAGATAAATCCTATCTGCTGAAAGCCACAGTGCTTTGAATCTGGGAACGGGCTGCAGCAAAATAGTTGTGCATAGAGGGTGTTGCCCATATCTCAAAAAAAAAGAAACAACAACAAAAAAATCCAACTGGAAACTAGACTGCTATTGCTCACCCTCTCCCACGCACAAGCAGGCTGAGCGCTACCGAGCTGCAGCACCTTGTCCCCGCGGTGCTGCCTGGGCCACGTCGCGTTCTCCAGGGCTTTCAGCGGGACTTTGCTTTGTGAGAACACGAGTCAGAATAACTCCCGGCGTGGCGCCTACTTTCAGAACAAAGGTCATAACGTAAAGGACAAAAGCAACCTTTTTTCCTTCCCCTGTGTTTCACCACGCTGTGAAAAAGCCGATCTCATCGGCAACGGTCTGGCACCGTGTTCTCCGCTCTGCTCCCACCCTGCCTGTGGGGGTGAGGTCGTGAGCCAGAGAAGACACAAGACATCTCCCATCAAGGAAATCATTTAGGGAAGAAACATCCCAAGCCACAGAGATGCAGGTGGATTTGCAGAGTACGCCTGGCACCCTCTTGTCCATCACCAAGAGACCCCTCGCTTCCTCCGACCGGGCAGAACTTGTTGCCACACGACATTTCCAACCCTTGGGCAAATCTAAGATTTTGAAACATTTCATTCCAAAGTCAGGACGGAAAATCAAACCCACAGCCTCTATTCTAATCAGTAAAACCAAAACCTCCTCAAGTATTCCAACCTTACTGAAACATTTTCCCTGGATAAGAATCACCTGTTTCATTTGGGCTTTATCGTTATTGTATTGATTGCCAAAATAATGAACAAGGTTGGAAGCACTTTGATAATTCCCAGCGAGATTTGCTCATCCTTGGGAAAGGGTCTTAATTCTGTGAACCAGCACTCTCCCCTAGAAAAATTTGTTGAAATATTTGCTGAAAAATGCTTCACGGGTGCTACGTCTGCGGGCAGTGACAGAGCAGCAGGCAGGGAGCTCAGGGTTCCCGAGTGGGTAGGGCGCAGGCAACACAAATCTACTTCCCTTCCTACACGCCGAAATAAAATGCTGAATAGCAGCGAGACCTCTCCAACTGCTTTGGGGAACAGCTGTTAAAAAAAAAACACTCCTGGAAATTCACCCAGCGATACTTTTTGATGCCAGCCTAAAATGCAGAGTTGGATTTTAACTGGTTTTCACCTTTCTCTCTACACACGGATTGTATTTGCTCTGAAGAAATCAGCAGCGTAACTCTGAGATTTGCAGCACAGCAGTGACCAGAGCCCACTGTCGGGGTGCAGATTTAATTAAAGGAGACCAGGAGAGTGCTGGTGAGACAGGCAAATCCCGTCAGATAACGTTATATGCTTCACAGAAATGTCTCGATTTCAATGTGATGAACAAAACAGGGTGATTTTCCACAGAGCTGCTGCTCATTTCAAATCCAGAGCCACATTTCCGGGATCGGAATGATAATGAAACATCTTGCTCAATTCCAACTTTTTTTTTTGTTGTTATAATGGTTTTCTGACAAAGAAACTTGTCACTGTTTGTCTATTAGTAATAATTTGTTTTGCTGTGCAAAAGAATAACTGCAGGAGTACACTCTGAGTGAAAGCAAAAGGAGTTCCCAGCTGTTCCCCAGCACGGCTCCAACAAACATCCTGTTTGTAATGACAGCTTCTGATGACAGGCTCTGAAACCAAAACTGTTACCACCAAATTTAAACATCCCAAAGCGACTCCCCATACACACACACACACACACAAAAAGGTGGCGTCTTTCCTCTCTCACGATGGGACTCCAATTGGAGGAAGCCAAATATCACTTTGCTGGGGGGGGTAGGGAATTAATTCTTTAACCTGCAGAGAAACTGGGAACTACCAAATCCCAAGTTTCTCCTTTAAG